ACACAAGACTATTTAGTTAAAACAAGAATTTCTATAAAGATTAGAACGAAAAGCAAAGGATATCAAATGAAAAGAGATGATGACAATTTGTTAATTTGCATGGGAAGACTAGTGAAGATAGTACTAGTAATTATAAATTAGAAAATAATCAAATAATTACATTATTAGGACAAAAAGATATAAAGACTATCTCAGTAAAGAAATTCTCTTCAAAAACAAATGCAGGATTAGATTAGAATTTAGGAATTTTTTTAGAAAAACCAATATTAGTACTAGAAAATAATATTATGTACAAAAATAGTAATAATGGAACTTTAAGCATTAGATTTGGAAATTATAATTATCAAGTAGAACAACCAAAGTATAATGACGAAGAAAATGAAGAAGAATGTGGATATTTTGAATAGAGGACTATAACAATGAAGACGAGATTGATAATTTAGATGAAGATAGTGAATAAGACGAAAGCGAGAATGATGAAAAAGGATTTGGATACATAGATACGAAATATTTTAGAAATTTTAGAAAAACTAAAGAAATAGAAACTAGAATGTTAATAGAAAAAAGATCAAATAAACATAGAAACCAAGATGCAAGAAGCTAGCAAAAGAGCTAAAACGGAAATGGATCAAGAATTTGATAAAAGAAAAGAACCCATGAATATAGAATATGACATCGGAGGTAAATATCATTTTCCCTTGCAAGAGACTTTGAATGGACTGATAAAAAATATAAAAGTCCAAGAAAAAGACAAACAGAAGAAGGATGTAGTTTACCATTAGCAAACGACAGAAGATTAATTTTAGAATTAAATAATTGTAAACCGCAAGACAAACCTAGTACTATGACTAAATGGGAAAAATCTATAATTAATACATATAATAGTGTACATATACAAATGATCATAGAAGAAATGTGGACTTAAAAACTTATTTAGGAAAGACAGCTTTTGAGCAATTCGAGTGACAATATTTTGTAGTAAGAAAATGACAATTCGAGTGGCAAGATTTTGTAGTAAGAAAATGACAAATAAGAAAGAGTCTTTCGAAAATAACAAGTAAGAAAAGTCATAAAGTCTTTTAAAAAATTCTCTACATAGATACCAAACAGGTTGAGAAGATTTTGTATTAACAAAAAGTCTTGTAAGAAAATGACAAGTAAGAAAAAAATTCTTTAAGTGATTTGAAAAAGTTTGCCTACTAATTAAGAGAAAATGACAAGTCATCTTACCAATTACAAAGTCTTCAAATTACGTGGCAAAAATTTAAAAAAAAAAATTCTAAGCAGTTAAAAAAAAATCTACTAAGATAAAAAAAAATCTTTAAAAATTTTTTTTTCTCTTAGAAAGGGAATCTTACTATAGAGGATTATTTTATCTTTTTAATCATGGAATCCAGAATAAAGAGGTTAAGAGAGTTATAATATAGAAAAGATAAAAATATAACTTTTTTTTGAATAAATTAATTGCTTACTTAGTGTTTCCTCTGTTAGGCTTTGCCCAAAAAATAAATAAAGTAGACAAAAATTATAGATAAGAGAAAGTGTGAAAATGACTTACTTTAATTCCGAAGTCTTTGAATTTACAAGGATTATAGAGAGACTTTTGAGTACAAGTGTGAGAGTGTGCTTTGTGTTTTTTTCTCGGCATGTGTTTCTTTTGTGAGTAATATGCATATTTATAGACGCTCGTACAACACGTCTATAATCTTGATACTGTATCACTTTACAAGTGTGCAATCTATAATTAAAAAGAAGGTAATAAATGTTGTACAACTTTACAAGTGTGGGGTTTTAAAATGGTCGTATGAAATTATTGGTAACTATTTTCTTCATTTTAACAACCTTATCTTCGGGCTTCTTCCTTTTGTTGACTTTTCTTGATAATTGAGTACTATTCATTTTCTTTACATCTTTTCATCCTTCTATCTTTATCTTTTCTTCGTTCTCAATTATTGTACATATCTATCCATCATTTCAATGTAAGCTTCTTCTAAGTCTGAATCCATTTCATTGTCTTTTTCATTGGGTATATATTCTTCTTCTTCTATATCTAATTGGATTTTTGTAAATTCTTCATTAGTTTTCTAAAACGCTATCAGATATAAATTCTTTTGCTCAAAATTTTTTATTGAAATTTTTTCTATTTTGATTCCTATAGCGAGGTACCCTTGCAGAAAATAACTCCGTTATTCTACTGTGCTATTAGTCTGAAATCATTATTTTGGACTTCCTTCGTTGCTTCGATTTCTAATATCCATCTTTCATAATCAATCTGTCTAATTTTTATTTTAGTATTAGTCTTTGAAGACGGCCTGAATCTTTTGGCTCCTTCATATATTAAAATATGATGATAGGTTGAAATTACAATACCATTATTTACAATATGGGGTTTGGAAATAAACTGAATCATCAAGGAATGGTCTTTTAACCGATCAAGAATCTGTTTAAACTTTGGTGAAAAAAATCTAAAAGATTTATTTAATACATACAACGTATATATCATACCAATCTGTAAAGCTAGGTAAAAAATGTCTTCTTCCTCAAAAAGTGTATAATCAAAGGAAATTGTGGGATAATTGTGTTTAAGAAAGACTGAATTTTTGGCTGATTCTTATTTGGGACCATGTTTAAGGAAGTATCTGTTTTCATTGTGATAATAACCTAAAATTTGAGCAAAATCTATAATTTCTTATACAACTGAATTCTTGATAGAACTTTCAACAATATTGGTATAATCACCAATTTTTTGTTCTAATTTATATAAAGTCTTTTCTTGCCCTGGAGCTATAGAATCAATTAGTTCAATTAATCTTTTTATTGTATCAAAATAATTTCTACTTGTAGAAGTAATGTCTAAAGAAATACGTCGTTCAAGAGTATGTTTAGAACTAAGTCTTTTTAAACTATTTTATAACTGAAGTATTTCATTTTGATATTTACTAATAGTTCACTAGGATGAAGAAATTTCATCTTTAAGAATTTGTAGTTTTTCTTCTAATGAATACTTCTAAAATTCAAATTTCTAACAACTTTGATCATAATTTCACAACTATCACAAAGTTGTATTTATGAAGATGATGTTTGAGAAGTAGTGATTTGCATAGTCTGTCTAACTCTTTCAAATATAAAAAAAGTTAAGTCCTATCATTTCTCTGCAAAAATTTAAAAATTCTTCAAGCATATAAAATCATTTGACAAATAGGTCAGGAAATCTTTCTACTTATGGTAATACTTCTGGCAAGTAATTATATATACCAAGCTTTCTATCTTTAATTACTACAAAGAAACTAAAATGGTTAGTTGAAGCATTAATGCTATCTAATTTTTTGTTTAGAGTCACGTGTCATCCAGAGATTATCCAGTAGACAACGCTCATTTTCTGACAATCTTTCTAAATTATTTCCTTTGAATCGAAGATTAGATCCTTGAGGGACCACTATTAGAGTGACATTCTCAAAGTTCATCATTCTTTGATCCATCTACATCACGAAAATAATGAATTAGAAAATTAATAACCCGCATACTTAAATTATCTACTAAAATTTTATTTTTTTCATCTATATGTTCTATATTAATTTTATAACTACTTAATATATCATATAATTTTAATCATCTTTTATGTCTTATTTTATCAAAATTTGTCTTTTTAATAAATTTTACTATAGTTTCACAATATGTTCTTATTGTAAACTCGGTATTTAGGAATAATTTAAAACTTTCTATACTATGTATGATGACCATTATTTTACAATCTAAACTAATTAAATATTTTCCTCTAATCCTATTTTTTCGCTAGCATATATGCAATTTTTTTCGTTCTTTTTATCACTATATTTATTAGTTTGGAATATAAAGTTTTTCCCCATCCTAATTTACATCCATCTTTTTTTATTATCATACATTCACTATCTAATAGTAGTAAATTTTTAACTTCTTTTATTCTTTTAACGAGTTCTATATTTGATTGATTAAAATATATTTGTCCTTTATTAGATAATTTACTATACAATGGTCATACTTTCCTTCCTAAAATTTCGATAAAATGTCTAGCATAATTTAATATTTCTAGAAAGGCCTGTAATTTCTTAGTTTCTTCAATTTTATCTGAAAATTGTAAAATTGTCTGTACTATGTGTAGTTGTAACTGAATCCTTCATTCTCCTAAAATTATTTCTAAAAATTCAATTTTTTGTTTATTTATTTCCATTTTCTTCTTACTTATAATTAAAATATTTTCTATAAATTTATTTAAAGTTATCTCTAGATATTTTGTATGTTCTTTATAGTCTTTACTTGTACAAAAATATCATCTATATACTATCCATCTTTCTTTGAAAAATAGAAAGTACAATTTTTAATCCAAATATCATGACTAACCATTCAAAGTATTCTAATGGGGTAGTAAAGGCTGTTTAAGGAATTGAATCTTTTGCCATTTTTATTTACCAAAATTCAAATTTACAATCAAATTTAGAAAATATCTTGCTATTTTTATTTTATTTATTAACATATCTTTATCTGGAATCTTATATCCATCTTTTACAGTATTATCATTTAATCTTTTATAATTTATAACCATTCTTGCTTTTCCTCTTTTTATTTCATTATCATTTTCAACCATAAAGGCTGTTGATCTGTATTGACTATTAGATGGTCTTATTACTTTTAATTCTAATAAGTCTTTAATATGTATATTAAAATATTCTATATCTTGATTTGTATGTTTTATTTCTGCAGTTCTAATTTTTATATTTTCATTTATGATTTCTAATTTATCTTCTATTTTATTTTTATCCCAATGTTTTATAAGTCTTCTTTTATTATTTGAATTCTTTCAATTAATTCTAAAATCTTGTTTATATTATTTATTTTTGGATATGTCTTATTAAAAATTATTAATTTTTTATTTCTTGGCAAGGAATTAGTTTTAAAAGAGGCGAGGAGGAAGAATGATTATAAACTATAAAAGATTAAACGAACTTAAAATACTATATATGTGAAAGTTACCCTCCGCTCGCCCTCCAGTGGAACTTGAACTTGGCGAGTTCGCGCAGTGGAAGGAACTGATAAATGATAGTGGAAGGATCAAAACGAGGATTCCTTGTAAGGACATAATGGCAACTGTGAGAAGAAGGGTGTTTTCTCTATTGTCTCGTACCCAAAATTTCAATTTTAACACAAAATCTCATTTAACTGTTCCTTTATCACAACCCATTAACTCAAAATCAGGTTACTTTTCTTTCCTAGTTTTTTTTTCCCATTTTAATTTTGTTGAACATTTATGTATTTACTATAATTTTTTGTATTTATATTATTGAGCGCTGCTGTCAATGATAATATATGGTGTTCTGAATTGGGAAATAAAATTTTGTATGTAATTAATAATTATTCTTATACATTTTCTTTAAGTAAGTTGAAAATATTTTCTTGAGCTTTACAATTGGTCTTGCTACTAGAATGTATGGTCTGAAAAAGAATCATATTAATCAAGAATCAATTTTTGCTTTCCCCTCTAACTAGGACGTTGTCTGCTAAATCTATTGAGCTGCTGTTTTAATTAAATTCAGCAGGTTTTAAGTTTTGAATTAGTTTTTATGAACAATAATTCTCTTTTTGAATCCTCGATTAAGGATTCCTGTGAAGAAAATATTAAGGAAAACCTCTCCTTGTGTTTGGTTGCAAATGAAAATATGAGTTATGTGTGGGGACTTATATAATTAAGGGATGCATTTATTATTATTATTATTATTATTATTATTATTATTATTATTATTATTATTATTATTATTATTATTTTCGATCTCAAACCTCACAGTTGTTAGTAGGAACTAAGAAATAAGAATTCTAGCTGGGATCGAGAATTACGACTTTTTGCTCCATTTTTTCTTCCGCTGCTTTCTGCATTATTTGTAATGCCAGTGACTAAGTGCAAGATCAGAATATCACTCTGCTTTATTGTTTGTTGTCTTTTAAGTTTCCTTCATCATGTTTAATGCCCATATTACGATCTGATGCAATATCAAGTGAAGTCTCTTGCATATACAAGTCATTTGATACGTTGGGAATCGTTTTATGCAGTATACAACATAATATTGGATTGTACTCTTAAATGTGAAATATGTATGGATTATTTAGTTTTACAACTGATTGTCCATCATCTGCTGGTTATTTCAGATGATCAAATGCTTTTTCGCATCCTTGAATCATGCAAACTGTTTCCAAACTTAAGAACTGCAGTTGCTGTGCACAATAAAATCATTAAACATGGGTATGGTATGTACCCATCTCTTTTATCACTGTTGGTATCGGTATATGTATCTTGTGAACAAATCAATCTTGCTCATCAACTACTTGGTGAAATTTGCTTTTTGGATTTTGACATAGTTATTGCCAATATGATGATCACCAGTTTCATGGAGATTGGGGAAACTGATATTGCGAAGAATGTTTTTTCTGCAATACCTGCCCGAGATGTGATAACATGGAACTCAACAATTGGAGGTTATGTAAAAAATGGATTATTTAAGGATTCCATCGACATCTTCAAAGAAATGTTAAGGAAAAACATTGAGCCAGATGGATTTACTTTTGCATCTGTTGTAACTGCATGTGCTAGACTTGGAGCTCTTAGACATGCAAAATGGGTACATGGTTTGATGATTGAGAAACGAATTGAAGTGAATTACATCTTATCTTCTGCACTAGTAGATATGTACTCAAGATGTGGAAGAATTGAAACAGCAAAAGAGATTTTCAATACTGCCCAAAGAACTGATGTTTCCGTGTGGAATGCAATGATAAATGGGTTAGCACTCCATGGTCTCGCTTTAGATGCGATTTTGGTATTCTCAATCATGAAAGTGGAAAATGTTTCACCAGATTCTGTAACATTCGTTGGAATTCTAACAGCATGTAGTCACTGTGGTTTTATAGAAGAGGGTCGCAAGTATTTTAATTTGATGCAAAGAGAACACTCAATTCAGCCACAACTTGAGCATTATGGTGCAATGGTTGATCTGTTGGCCCGAGCTGGACTCATAGAAGAAGCTTATGCAATGATTAAGGAAATGCGAATGGAGCCCGATGTTGTTATATGGAGGGCATTGCTTAGTGCTTGTAGAACTCACAAAAATCCTGAGTTGGGTGAAGTTGCAATAAAAAGAATAAAGCACCTCGAAAGTGGAGATTATGTCCTACTGTCGAATATTTACAGCTCTATGAAGAAATGGGACAGTGCAGAAACAGTGAGATACACTATGAAAAAGAATGGAGTCCGTAAATGCAGTGGAAAGAGTTTGGTGGAATTGAGAGGTGTCATTCACCAATTCAAGGCTGCTGATCGATATCACCCTGAAACTGAAGCAATATACAGAGTATTAGATGCATTGATCCATCGCACCAGAATGCAAGGTTATGTCTCTATGTCAGACCTAGTTTTCATGGATATATCTGAAGAAGAAAAGGAGGAAAACTTGAATTATCATAGCGAAAAATTGGCATTGACCTATGCAATCATAAAGTCGAGTCCTGGGACTGAAATTCAGATATCCAAGAACCTTCGTACTTGTCCTGATTGCCACTCTTGGATGAAAATTGTTTCACAGGTATTGAATAGGGTAATAACAGTGAGGGATAGGATCCGATTTCATAGGTTCGAAAGTGGCTTTTGCACTTGTGGAGACTATTGGTAGTCAATGTTAGAGATTTATTACGCAAAACTTAATTATGGATGGTTGGAGGCTTTACTGGAAGATGGAGATAAAAAAGTTAATCTGATTTGAAGAGTTTGAGGGTTGCATAATGATTTACTAAATCATTATTCTGAAGCTTAAAGTTTTCAGATTGTTGACACTTGACTATACATCTCACCCCTTTGGTTAAATGTGAGGAGCAACAATGCCACTGATAGATTACGGACAAACTGGAAGATTCGTGTGATTGGTGGCAATTGTTTCATCAAAGAAGCTAGTAGTCTCTGCTGGAGGCCCATGCACCTAATTTAATCAGCAAGAAATGGGGGAAGACCCTCATAAATTTATAAAGCCTATGCAACTTATGGTAGTTTGTCAAAGGGGCCATACACAATCAATTTGAAACTTTCTTTTCCTACATTTTCTTAAAAACACCAACACTTTTGATAACCCTTTTCATTTTTTATTTTGAAACTTTGTAAAGGATGGAGTAAACGTCCAGTGCCCATGTTTCCCATATTGTGAAGTGATGTCCTTATTTATGATCAAAATTTAGCCGCAACACCAGATCGTTCTACATGCCAATGGGTTCCTTCATAAAGTGGCTATGTTGATAATGTCTGTCAAAACCGGTGGCCTTTCTTGCATTTGCTCTCAAGTTCAAGTTCTCTGATGGGAAATCTGTAGGTGCGTTCCCAGACTTCCGAATTAATTTGTCTGAGCTACAAACTCTGTAGTTGATCTTGTTGGAACTTGGAAGTGATAAGACATCTATTCCAATAGAACTGAACACAGGTGTGCCTCAAAGATCAAGGTCTTCATTTGCTTTGATTTGTATTCAGAGGACTAATCAGCATACTTTTGGCACCGTTTCAGTTTCATGATATTGCTGATATCACTTGATCATTGATAGAGTCACATGTCACCAACTCGTGCTCATAAATGGTAAACAAGAAGTTTTCTGCCAGACAACCTTAAAGAAATGAAGAATTTCTCCAGGGCTTTCACGATTGTCCCTCCCGTCTCATTTGAGTTGGGTATGGATTGTTTTGTTTTGGGGGTGTCACGAATGATGTATGAACAGTTAAATAAACATTATTTCAGATTGATTCAGGATTCAGTTTCCGAGCAGTGGTTAATATTATATATTTATGATATTGATCCTCTAAAGAATATTGTTAATCTCTAGATTCATTCCGGTTTAGAATATTAGTCCCATCCCATCCCATCCCGTCCCCACCCCAACTCCGAAAAATACAAATGCTAATGCCACCAAAATCTATAAAAATCTAACGGCGATCTTCCAAGCTTGAGAATGTAATCAATCCCTTTGAAGCCAACAATGCAATATCTTGTTTTCTTCCTTTCAAATGAGAAGGGGAGACACATAAACCCAAATAAAAGTCTTGAAATCAATCAAAATTAGTAGGGACTGAGATTGGATTTTGGGATTGTTCAGAAGAGTGTTATTTTTTGTGAATTAAAGGAGATTGAATGGAGTCTTTGAGGAAGAAATCTCTTTACTTATAATTTTTCCTCAATTGGACAGGTGTCCAATTGTGAGGCTAAGAGGGATATCCATACTCTCTTATATATGTAAAAGCTTTACAAAGAAAGGATATATCCTATTGCTTCAATTCCTTCTTCTCTTTTCTGCTTAGGAGGCAAACAACCTCGAATTATGCATTATTTACCTAATTTGGTGCTTTCATTGAAGAAAAAAAACTTGGAGGTCAGCCATGGCAAATCAGACCCGAGCTTATGTATAACGAGCTCTTGAGGATTGCCTGAATCGCCTGTCTTCGCATGATGAGTAGTTTAGTTCTTTCGGCAACATTCTTAAGGAAATCAGCTTGAAATTGACATCAATGGAAGGTCCAATAGAGCAGAGTTTGAGAAATCCCATTGTTGATGTATCAGAATCATATATAGGCCAACAATCCGACAAGGGCAGGCATTAGTGGGTGGAGGTAATGCCATGCAACCTATGTGAACTCTGAAGCTCGATGTTCCGCGCGTCAATGGAGAGGGTCCGCATGGATGGATTTTTTAAGGTAGAATGGTTTTTTTATTTTCACGGGACTCCAGATCAGCAACACTTTACTATATCTTCTTTTCATATGGATGCTGATTCACTACATAGGTATCAATGGATGCATCGTAATGGGTTACTTCCATCGTGGTAGGAATTCTTTAAGGCACTCTTGGTTTGATTTGGTCTCTCAGAGTACAGAGACATCCAAGGTGAGCTAGCCAAGCTTACCCAAACAGCCAATGTGGCTGATTATCACTGGAGTTTCGGCGCGTTTCTTTGGAGTTTTTTTTTTTAATCAGGTTTGCTCCATGATATTTGACAAGAGGTATGTGCATTGCAACCAAATCTCTTATACAAGCAATAAATCTATGCTAAGTTGATGGAAGATAAATTCAGTGATATGGGTATAAGGAATTTGCCTAGCTAGCAGACTTTTGTCCCAAATATCAAGCCATATCCGAGTCCACTCCTATTACCCTGATGAGGACATCCTTATAGTTGGACTTTTATTATTGTTTCAGTTGGACTTTTATTTAAGTTTACGTATTTTAATTAGGACTTAAATAATGGGCTTGGCCCTATATTTCTAGGTTTTCATTATTTAAACCTATCATTGGTTTGTAATTTCTCAGTTGATGAATTTTGATTAAATTATAACGTTGGCTTCAGCCGTTTGCCTCTCTGCTCCCTGTCTCTGTTCTTCTTCCTCTCTCCCTTTCTACCATCTCTTCTTGTTTTAGTTATTGAATCCTTCACCCTACATCAAATTGGTATCAGAGCAAACCCTGGACAGCAATTCACGCACCATCAATATACAGACTCCGTTGCTGCCCCGCTGCTGAAAACAGTAATACAGACAGCAAAGTGGTTTCTTTCACCCTGCAAGCCGACCAACCCAACTACGCAATCAACCCAGGTTGGGGAATTTTTCACTGCAAAATCCAAAACCGCCGCCCCTTCTGACCACGCACTGAGTTGCCCAATTCTCTGAATCGTTTCCAGTAGCAAAGGTTGGTCCAATTGACAACCTATAATCACCAAGCGTAGCAAAACCATCAAGATTCCTCTTCCCCATTCACACCTCGAAAATTGACAGACCAAACCCAATAACTAATAACCCAGCCCCCAAACCCATAATTCATACCAAACCATTGGAAACTGTAGAAGCAACTGGCCAACGAGGAGCGTTTCAAGGAGATGGGAGCGTCGCGCTGGTTTACTAGGGGAAAGACCGGTCACTGAGGCG